TTGGAACTCAGGTCCTTGTGCTTGTAGGCAGGCGGCAGAACCCACTGAGCTAAATCCCCGGCCCTCCAAGCAGGCTTCTTAGGCCCTGTTGAAGTTGCCTTCTGAGCCCTGGAAATGATCTGGGCAGCCTGAATCTTCCCAGCCCTCCTGTGGAACTGTCTGTCATCAGTGATGATGCTTCTGCTCTCCTGGAAGTCTTGAGGGCATTCCTGTTGTGCTGTGTGGGCAGAGTTCCATCTTTAGATGGACACACAGGCCCTCCATGCTGACCTCAGACTGTTGTACTCTTGCCCTGGTGCTGTCATCCTCTAAAGCTGGGGCTCACAGCAGGTTTCTGAATGAAAACCCCTGCTGGTTAAGACTTCGGTTTCTCTTGTTTCCTTGGAGATGTTTTTCCAAGAGCATAATGTACATTAAAGTCTTTCAATTGAGACTAATCCCCTTGTGTGAGTCTCATAGTTAATCTGCCTGGTTTTCTGAGCCAGGCCACCGTCCATTTACACCCATCTCTCTACAGAGCACCCAGGAGACCCTGCCTCACCCCTGCAGTCTCTGGAGGAGGCAGCCAGCCAGCCTTGCGCATTGCCCCTGGGCTTTAGAGACAGGCACATTCTGTAACTTTATAACAACCTGAAGTTTCACCTTGTGTGCATTTGCTATTTCTTTCCAGCCCAAAGCCGACTCATGAGAACTACCTGGAGAGCTTGTTAAAAGTACAGACTCTCAGGAATGAAGCCCCGATGCAGGCTACTGTATGGATGAACCCTGAATGTGGTGTACCAAGTGAGGAGACTAGGCAGAGACTACCCACTCATACGGACCGTCCGAGTACACAAGTTCGTAGAGGTGGAAAGTGGCTCAGTGTTGTCAGAGCCCGACAGCAGGGAATGGGAAATGACTGCTAATGGACCCAGGGTTTCTTTTAGGGGTGATGAAAATTTCCTGGAATTAGACGGAGATGGTTCTAACAACCTTCTGAGTATAGGATGTTAAGAACCACTGAAAGTATATACTTTAAAATGGTGACTGTTTTGTGTAAGTTGTATCTCAATCATTTCTGGAAGTGCAGATTTTTACTTCACCTTGCAGGGTTTCAGAGGTAGTAAGTCTGAATGGGGCCTTGGTTCTGAGGCACACTTAGTTCTGAGTGTCATTTTTCTTTTCTTTTCTTTTCTTTTTTTTGTGGTTCCAGGGATTGAATCCAGGACTTTGTGCTTGTGAGGAAGGTGTGGTGCCACTGAGCTATATCCCAGCCCGCTGAGTGACATTTCTGAGTAGTAACAGCATTGTATTTAGTACCTAGAGCACCGTTGAGACGGTTTGTCTCCTGCTGGCATTATCAAGACAGCACTTGGAAGTTGGATCATATGACCTTATTCCCCAAGCTTGTCAGTGTTTCTGGGTTAACCCAGACACCACCCCTGCCACATACACACACACACACACACATACACACACACACACACACACACACACTGAAATGGTTAAATAACTGGCTACTATTGACTAAGTGCACTGTCTTGTTATTTCATCCTTGCAATAGTATGTGAGTAAATCTAGCTCAGATCATTTTGCCAGAGTCACATAGCTAGTAAGTATTGAGGACTGGAATCAAGCCCATGTGCCCTGGTATCTATAGCCCACTCTGCCACCTCATTCACAGCTACTGTTTCCTTGTGTGCTGCCTTTGCATGCTCTCCTTTCTACCCTGTTCCTCAGGTCTAGTCTTGACTCTATTGACAGCCAGTTGTATGCCTTTAGGCAAGCCACTTGTGTTCTCTGGAAGTTAGTCTCCTTATATAGAAAAAACCTGGTGTGGATTCAAAGTTTCTGATAGTTTTCAGGCTTTCTCAGGTATTTGAAACTCAGCCCTTGCATTAAGTTTTTTCTAAAAGGAAACTATATTTCAGTGGTGGCAAATCTATGGGATGTATGCTGCAGTGGGCTGGTTGTATCAGTGAAAGTTCTAAAAGGTTCAACATCACTCTTACAGTTATACGAAATAATATGGCTGGGGCCAGGAATTTAGCTCAGTGGTGCCACTGCCTGCCTTAAAAGTACAAGGCCCTGAGTTTGATCCTCAGTACCAAATAAATAATAACAACAACGACATGGCTGGGCTGGAAAATAAATGTCTATTGTTTGGGCTAAAGTGGTATCAATTTTAGGTCTGTACATCCCACTTAGCAGTCCTCTGTGTCTCTGATGAATTAAAAATGTGAAAACAGGGCTGGGGATTTAGCTCAGTGGTTCCACTGCCTGCCTCACAAGCGCAATGTCGAGAGTTCATTCCCCGGTACAAAAAAAAAAAGTGAAAACAAATTATTACTTAATTCTTGAAGTATATTTAGAAGGCAGAAGCCTACAAGACAGGATCACTGGTGAGACTGATCTCTCGGCTCTTTTCCAGTTTTAATGCCTCAGAAAGTGAAGCTATTGGCCTGATTTTTAAAAATCACCTAAAATACAGGCTTCCTGGGATCTGGCTCTTATTTGCAAGGCTGGTTTATCTTATTAACAGAATCAGTAGAAGAAGTGACTTTCTAGCCCCTCCCACTGTCCCCAGGACAAACTCTTCTTGCTTTCACCCTTGTTGCATCTAATTTCTCATCACTTGAGCAGAGGAGGAGTATCCCACTGTTGATTGCCTCTTACCATCAATAATTATTTTCCCAGTGTCATTCCCTGTAAATATTTAATATTCCAGGGCACTGTGACATGCTGGTCTCCAGCTAATCAAGACTTTGGCTTGACCAAGATAACATCCCAGCTGAAATGGGGACTAGAAATAGAGTTCTGAATGCGTGGTCAGAGCCAACACTGAGTCACATCTACCAAATAAAAAGCCAAACAGAATAGGATTGCTCACCTGAACTGCTCAGGAATCCTCGGAGCCTATGTAGTCCTGCAATTCTTTTCTCTCCATCCCCTGCTCAACACCATAACACTTCCTCGCCTCAGATCATATGTATCTCACCCAGATAGGCTTGGTTTTCATTAACCCTGACTAGCCCTTTCTGTCTCCAGAATATCCACTTAGGTGCTGGCTCATTCTCCCTCAGCTTGGGCTCCTGAGGCCTGGCCTTCCTGCTGCAATGAGGAATAAGCCAGAAATAAAGCCAGCTATTTGCTCCTGGGGTTTGGTCTGTGCTTATATTGAATCCACATTCACCTCATTCCTCTGCTAGCCAGAACTACTGTCTGTCCTGGATCTAGTGCTCCCCTTGTGTTGACTCCCAGATTTCTCTGGACAACAGGTTCTGAAGGTGATAAGACTATCTGTTAAGCTGTTTGGTGGAAGGTAGAATCAGGGTTCCTGTGTGGGGATCTCCAATGTCCAATAAGCAAGAAACTGGTTTTAGTTCAGTGGCACTGTGCCTGCCTTGGAAGTGCAAGGTCCCGAGTTCAATCCCTGGTACTAAAAAAAAAAAAAAAGGAAACTCACTTTAAAATAGGGCCAGGGAATTAACTCAGTGGTTCCACCACCTGCCTCACAAGCATAAGGTTCCAAGTTTGATCCCCGGTACCAAAAATAGAAACTATACAGGTCCCTTTTTCTTGGATCTTTGTACAGCTTCTTCTAGGATTTCTCCATTTCCTTTCTGTCCACTTCCTTGAATGTTTACCTAGCTCAGGTTTGGACTTAATTCTAAAGGGATGCTGACAGACGAGTTGAATCTTGAGAATGGGCTGTGAGAAGCAACTGGAGAATCACACATCCACTTCCAACACCAGGTTTTTATGGACTCAGGGCCAGTTGGAGCTAACATTTTGGGGGTCCCCTCTTTACCGCTGACCACCGTGTAGGGTCCTTTACTTGCTGTGCTCAGTCCAGAGTCAGCTAGCTCTTCAGGAAGGGTCTCATTTTCTTTTCTTTATTTTTTTAAACTTTGCAATCACTTTAATTTCCTTCTAAAGTCAGTAGAAGCACAACATATTTTAGTAATATAAGCTTAAATTATAATAAATGTAATTAATTACCTTTATTCTTTTTCTTCACCGTCAGTTGCAAAAATTTCTTTTTGTTTCTGGCATAAAAGTTCTTTATTTCAGCATTGATTTTTATCAAAATATTTTCTGGTTCTGAAAACTACTGTTTCAACAAAGACGTGTTGTCCAAGAATCCTGTAATTCTATTTTGTATGTGATCTCTTGAGTTCTGGTACCCGTACTTCTCTTGGTTTTCAGCAGTGCCACGTTGACCGATGGTACCGGGGATCAAACTCCGGTCCTTGTGCTTGCGAGGCAGGCGGCAGAACCACTGAGCTGAATCCCCAGCCCTGACCAATATCTTTATGAGCTGTTTCATGTGAAAATTCTTAAGTATGATATCATTATGTGACTCAGCAAGAAAGTATCTGAAATATCTAGTAATATGACAAAATCAAATGCAGAAGAGGGAAGAGGTACTTCTTTTGAAGCTGTAGAAGCCACAGCCAATGTAGATATTTGTGTTTTCATTGCCTCCATTTCTATGAGGTTGCTATTGCAGCCAGTGAGAATTTCCTCTAGCAGCTGTGCTTGGTTTAATG